GGCGCCGTGATTGGCGGCCGACACGCCACACGACGGGTGTGGGATTGCGTGGGGCCGGCGGGCGTGGGGGTGGGGCCGGCGCGGCGCCACCGACAACGCGTTGACTGCGAGCGGCCGCTTTAATTTTTTTCCCTCCCGGGCGGGCGGCCGGCCTGTATTCATATACGTATACCTCCGTCTGTTTTTTTTTGCGGGCGGGCGGGCCGGCGGGGCAATCTTATGCCCATCCTACCCTTTGTTATGAAGGGGTATTGGGCAATCTCAGCCCTCCTTGTGTTTACAGGGGGTCTACCGAAGCGGAAGTGTTTTCTTTTTAGCTGCTAGTCAGGGCTTTACATGCTTTCGATATACTACCTCCGTTTCAGTTTATAAGTCCTACGCGTATACCTAGATTGTCAATTTTATTACCCTAATATAAACTATATAACACAAAAATTATATTGTTTGAAAATAGAACATCCGAAGTTTATATTGGTATATTTTTTGTAATATATGACATGTATTAGGTTGGTCAAATTGACGACCTAGAGGTACGCGCACGCCCTGTAAACTGAGAGAGAGGTAGTAATCAAATTGGGTATATTTTACAACCATTTAAACCCCACCATCACCTTCCTGCCCTTACCCCTCGCCCTTGAACGCGGTGAAATGCTACAGAATTAAGGAGCTAGTTAATGCACGTGCCCTAAGTTTGCTAACTGTTTGTGTGTAATATATCATGTTTATCAGTACTCCATGCAGTTATGCATACTGATTATCTGAAACACTTTTTATGTCATGACGCTAGTCTCAGATTGGACATGTTTATACTTTTATCAGGTCACTGCGATCTTTGTGAGAGTCTTCATCAAAGGCTTATCAACCCATCTTTTGGAGCATACAATTTCCGCAGTCCCCTTGATGCTACCTCGGGTATAATTGACTTTGATGTTGCGAATCTGCTGGACATCAAATATGCTCGGCACCTTTGGGGTTCGAGGCACATGGACCGTGTTTTTTACCCTTATGATGATTTTCATTCCAGCGCTGAATGGAAGTGGGATTTCATGGTAATTCGGTAGTTCAATTGCAATGCGAAGTTGCTTTTATGTACCTGTAAGCACAAAAAGGCGAGTGCATGGAGACATCTGAAGATGGATGTATGTGTTGAGATCATCATGGAATGCAGGCAAAAAAGTAGGAGCAAAACGTAGATAGGAGACGCAAGATGTAGAATTGCAGGGCGTGTTGGAGTTGGAGTCTACCAAACCCTGGTGGGTTTAGTTTAAGAAGGGAGAAAATGTATTTGTACTATGCATGTTTTGTAGATAGCCTCGTTAAAACATGTGTGGAGAAACTTTGGAAATACTCGAACAAGATAAAAGGAGTATAATCCTATCTTTTGGCCAGATGTACTTTCTCCCCTTAATTCAGCATTCCATTAAGTATTCTCATTCAAATTTTCGAAGCTTCGATTGTGAACAAGGAGTGACTTGTTCAATAGAGATCTACTAGATTATCACATGACGTTCATGCATTTGCAATGCAAGATCACAGGAGAACTCGGGGATGACATGCTTGATGCTTCATGAGTCAATTTCACATAGCCTATGCGCATATGTGCAACGTATGCTTGATAACATTCCTAGATAATTGCTGGTGTTTGATGGACATCGAACACACATGATGCCCACACGTGGTACTCCATTCTCTTGAGCTATACACATTACGTGTTTAGGATAAAAAGAACACACATTGTAACGATCAACTCAAAGACACAAAAATAGTAGTATTAATTAGAACACAACGAGTCTTCCTCTTTGGCTATGCGCCCGTGGCTTGAGAGCTCGGTAGCACCAAGTTATGTGAGTGTTTCTTGTAACATATTTATGCCTTCTATATAAGAATATGGCACGTTCTTGATATGCTCTTGAAAAAAGAAGTGTGTGAGCGCTAAATATGTCATTCTAAACTTGCTCGTGACGGAGGATTCTTTGGTCTTGTTTGTAATTTTACTTCTTGATCAGTATTTCTTTATGCAAAACTAGCGTTTTGCTCTTTTTTTCTTTCCAATCTCGCTAGTTCGGTATATACACGACTTGTAGTTTGATCCTTTCAATATAAATGAGACATGTATTACCATGCAACAAAAAAAATGATGCCGGAAACCCTCTTAAAAATTACTTGTTCAGTTGTTCACAAGTGTCATTTTGTCTGATCGAGACCACGCCACATTTACAACGGTGCATCAAAATGCCAAAGCGCACACAATAGACCAACCCATCTGATCGAAGTACAAGGAACCAAACTGGAAAGCCGTTTCCCTGACCGACTAGTTCGCCTTCTTCGCGGTCGGTGGCGCCCCGCAGAAGGCCTCCCGGTTGGCGGCGGCGCCGCCGCGCACGACGTAGTGGCCGAGCGACGGCGTGCCGGTCCCCTCCACGCGGTTCTCGTCGCAGAGGAACTCCCGCGCGCACAGGCTCTCCACCTCCCGCTCGTAGTCGTGCACCAGCACGTCCGTGACCGTCCCCTTGGTCCGCGCCATCACCGCCGCCGAGAAGATGGCCGCCATCCTCCCCGGCGAGCCCTCGGCGTACCCGTGCGGCCCGTCGACGAGGATGACGTCCCAGGCGACGTCGTAGAGCTGGTTGGGCAGGTCGCCGATGGCGAGGCGGCAGTCGGAGAAGAGCAGGTTCTGGACGGGGCGGCACTCGGCGCGGCGGGACGCGCGCGCGGCGTCGAGGAGGTCCGGGAGCTCGCGCACGGCGGTGGCGTAGGCGACGTCGTACGCCTCCAGCCCGCCGTGCGCGCCCTCCATGTGGGCAACGTAGAAGGGGTTCTCGTCCAGGAACACCGTCCGCCCCCCGTGGTTCAGCGCGCGCCACAGCGGCGTCTCCGCGCCGAGGCCGAACACCAGCAGGTTGCAGGGCGCGCGCCGCCGCAGCACCGACGCGATCGCGCGCACGTCCTCCTCCGGCATGCTCACCGTCGAGTTCGCCCCCGCCGCCGCCGCGTACCGCACCAGCGCGTCGAACACGTACGCCGGCAGCGCCCCTCCGCCCGCCGAGGCGCCGCCGACGGCGCTGCCCGCGCCGGCGCCGGCCGCGAACGTGACCCGCGGCGACGCCGCCCCGGACGGCGCGCGCGCCGTGGAGAAGACCGTGAGCAGGGACGCGCAGGTGAAGAGCGCGAGGAACGCGACGAGCCAGAAGCGGCGCCAGGAGATGGACGCGGCCGTCGCCGGCGACGCCGCCCCGTTCCCGTACTTGCTCGACGGCTGGCGGACGAGGAGCAGCTTCGTCCCGGACATCGCCTTCATCTCTCCCTACCCGGCCCGCGTAACCAACCAAACCAATGAGCAGAGCAGGCAGCTGGAGTGGCTGGTGCTCGAGTTCTTGTGCCCCTGTGTTTCTCACACCATTTATGCGTGTGATCTTGCGCTCCGGGTGAAGAGCAATGGTGTTAGTACAAGAAGGGACGGGGATGGAGAGAATGGCTCACCGTACCAGAATGACATCTCAGCCTTTCAGAGCGTGAGAGTTGTTGGCCGGGGAATGCAGGTTTGGATGTGATGGCAGACAAGCCAAGCTAAGCTTAATTAATCAAGCAAAGTAGAATAAGACGAAGTTTATTTCTTTTGGGAAATAAACGAATAAGCGTTTGATCAGTAGTTGGCATGTTTGGCGAGAAAGCAATCTAGGTGAAAATTCACTTCGCTGCAGGTTTGCTTCGGAGTGGCTCAAATTCCGGTAGGTTTGGATGGGCACTCCTTTGATTTGGACGCTGGAACTTTCTCCTTCAGAATATGAACACTCATATCCCCGCCATCCAAAACTTTCAGCGTGGAACGCAGATTGAGCTGCGATCAACCCCGGGCAGGCTACCAAATTTCTTGGGCAATGTCACCTTATGTTTCTTCTTTTTTCCGTGTGGTATATGGAACACATAACGGCAATGTGCCATTAACCCGATGACAGAGGATCATCAGTAATTACCTGAACAGATACAGGAGATGGATCCAGATTTTGGTACTTTGATTGAAGACGGGCAGCTTTCTGGCCATCAGACTCAGATATCAAACGAAAGAAGGTTGCAGATACAACTATCATATTTGGTGAGAAAATTGTTGAACAAGGCTGAACCTCCTTTGACAAGGGTGACGCAAAAGGAGACTGGCCACTTGGGATTCAAGCGACTCACAGTCTCACAGATGTGGCATGCAGGAACTAACGTTTGTAGATGGGAGGTGGCTGTCGGTCTATTCCTTCCGTTGCCTTCGAGTGAAGCCTCGGCAAAAGCACTGGCATGAAACACGCACCGACATGTTCAAGACCTAGACTGTTTCGTGGTAACCTGAGCTCATTCAAAATTTCAAACGAAGAACTTGTATATGTTTACTGCTAGCAATAATCTAGCAGGCACATGCATTGGGTAAAAAGAAAGTGAAACAATACTGAAAAGTAATGTAGCAGGTAGTGACAACAGAGTTCCATCTTCTTATAGATCTGCCCATGGATACCAACTCCCGGTGTCCGAATCAGCAGATCATAATTAAAAGGGACAGAACATCAGTTAACTAACTTTCCATAGAGTATACGCCGTCTAATGATGGACGGAAGATTTTCCTCACCAGACTATGAGGATTTCGACAACCTCGAGCAAATAACAGAGGATCATATCAGGATTTACCATACCACCAGCAAAAAGGTGCCATAAGAACACAGCAAGGCACAATGAAGCGTCGATTCCAGTTCATAATGCTCTAGGTTGTCTATGTATTTGCTTCGGTGAACAGGAGATGTATCTCTGGCATCCCTGCAGTAGAGAAGCGGTAACCCGGAAAAGAGAGCAGGTTCTACAAAATATCATGCACATCATGATCACCGTCTGGGGTGAGCACCCATATACAGTAGCAAGGATTTATCACCAGGATCATGCCGCCCCGCACCAGTAGGCCAGGTGCTCATCTTTGCGTGACGTGCTGAAGAGCCCACCACATTTCAAGCAAATGAAGCTGCTGCCATCGTTGAAGGCGTCCAGGATAATCTGCTTCCTTCCACACTCAGCAAGTATGCAGGCCTCATCAGAGTTCAACGCCGTAACAGGGTCAGAACCAGGTGCTAGTGGATTAGGGTTTGATGACTGAGCCTCTGCTATAGCACACTGTGCGAGCAAAGAAGCGAGCTCATCAATGTTGGGAGCAGGCTGCGATCTCTGCCTGTAGAGGTCACGTGCACGGTTCAGAGTCTGGATGAGAGCCTGTTCACCACCTTGAGATCTTATGGCCAAGAGTACCTGCATAATATTCCAGAGTTCAGTTCCTTGGCAGAACTAGGAAATGTGAAATTTATGTAAAGTAAGTCGCAAAGGGATCATCAGAATAATCACAACCAAGTATAGTTGCTTGGGAAATCCGGAATACCAGGAACGATCAACATCTTCAAGGGCATCAGGCCCATCTCTACAGATGCAGGAAAAAAATTCGAAGAGGAATTGCAGTGGCTTCTTCATCGAGCTAAGACAAAGAAATATAGCTCCCTGGCAGTGGGTTGAGCCTTTCGCTAACTCAGTTGCTTGTTGTTGTAACCTTAGTTTTCCTTTTCTGAATTTTTATTTTGTTTTTATCTTCGTACAGCAAAATATAACCCAAAAATATACATACGCACATTAGAAAGACCCTAATATTTTAGTAAAAAATAATTGCCGCCAAGAAACGTTGCCAATTTGGAAGCTTACTATATTTGCATCCCCCACAGAGCTTTTCTTTTAACAGACACACAACATTATTTTCATTGACGTATACAAGTTAAGAAGCAGATTGCAAACCTCATCAAAATTCACTTATTAGTGCTGCACTTAAGGGAAAATTGATCTTATACCACTAAGAAAATTGCCCTTTTCCAAAATACCACTCATTCATGTATCCTTGACAAAAACAATACTAGTTCCGTCCTCCACTACTCAATTGCAATAGATTTCACCATTTTCCCCCTGGCATAACCCTCTTCCACTGTTCCACATCTGCTCCCCACAGCCTTCTTCCCCTTCTTCTCATTCACCGGTCTTTATCCCTTTCTATTTCTGCTATTTCTTACCTCCCCCAGGGCTGCTTCTTCTCCTTCCCACCATTGCTACAACCAAATCGTGTTTGACTAGGGAATAGGAACTGGGCATCGACCAGTTAGCTAGTGGCGTGGAGACGATTGCGCAACCTAGCCCACCGCTCGCGTTTGAGCCTTGGCTCCGCTGGGTATGTGCCAACATTTCTTAACAAAAGACCAGAGGGGCTAGTCCCTATTGGTACTTTATTTTACTAAGGAAAGACTCCGGACAAAGGAATGAAAGAAATAACGCAATAGGAAAGCAGCTGTTAATGCCAATGAGTATCGGTGGTCGGAATCAATTTGCACATGTTGAATTCCAGTCACATATAAGAGTAACAGGAAATGCTAGTGAGTATTGCAGCATTGCTGCAAACGCCATTGTGTAGGATTCACAGCACTCAAGTCCTGACGAAGACTGCACATTCCTCATTTGGATCATCTTAGGAAAGGTCTATTCTACACATAAGACAGGAAATCATATATGTCCAATGCAAACATGGCTTGAACATCCTAATGCTACACAGAATACTAGCATATTTAGTAAGGTTGGGCCAGTACTAAATTAGCACAATGACTGAGCGGTTTCACCAAGGTATCAAATCCTAACTTGTTGACTTCTCATTCGTGCCTTTTGTACCCATATTTTTTGGCTTCACTATAAATGGTTAAAGCGCATCTCCATATGTTAAGCATTGCAACCCACCTTTGCCAGTGTGACCTCACGACAGCTCAATAGTTTAAACAACGCAGATTCACACCTTTTTTTGAAAGGTCAGGTGGGGTGGGGGGCGATTAGCCCACCTGAACTGTTTTTCCATTAAGACATTGAGCCCGGAAATAACGGCCAGGCAGGGGAGAGGTGACCGAGCAACCATAGTTCAAAAAAGCGCTAAGCGTTAATTGCGCGTTTGCCACCTCCTTGCGCTTTTCTGACCAAAGCGCATGCTTATGCGCAGATTAAGCGCGATTATGCACTAGGCGTTTTGCTATCGCCTAGAGCCTAGCCGCGCCTTTTTTAACTATGCGGAGCACACAACCCAAACAACAGCAAAACTAGCAGATACAAACTTAACCATCTAATAAAGGCTAGAGGATGAGGAAAATAATCCCTGTTCAAAAGTTCAAGCATGCTTGGCTGAAGTTGTACACCCACTTTGGGTGGAGCGTTGGTGTTCATTCTCGGAAAATATGAATTCGTAAAACCCTTGTTAAGAAACAAACTTTATATAAATACTTAAATGGTAGGTCTCTAAACATCCCCATTTCTCAACTCAATCGAAGAAGGTAATTATTTGGGGTTCCCCATTACTACCAGAAAATGAAAGAAAAGAAGGTAAGGAACTAGCATACCAACTAAGGGGGAACAGAAAGAGCAGAAACAGGACTGTGCAGGCACAATCAAATCATCAGAAAAACACACTGTATGAAACTAAAACCAAGTCTAACAATTACCCTAAGAAAATTACTAAATCTAGCTACACAACTGTGGCAAACTCAAACACTTCGAAAATAATTAATTACCCCCTCCGATCCATAGTAATTGTTGTACTAAATCAGCGACAATTAATATGGATCAGAGGGAGTAGTAAAACTAGCTTCACGACTGCGCGGGAAACTCAAAACTCTTTAAGATTTTTTAATCAAAAACTATTGTAACTGTGTGGGATGAGGAATTCACTCGAATCTACATTGTGGCATGGCAATTGCAATCGGAAATGAAATCTTGACAAGGATTACCAAAACAGATTTGTAAGGCTACAATGCATCTGTGCTACTTCCCCACTTTGCAAGCTCAATCCTTATACGTTTGTAAACACCATCCCTAGAGCTTACTCAGTGTGCTAATGGAAACCCATTAGTAAATAGCAAATTGAAATACTGATAGGTGTGAGATATGTACGAGCCTACGAGCACTCAACATAGTGGAAGCATCTCCCTGTGTGTGCATCACTTCATAAACTTCCTCCCTTTTACCTCTCAAGGAGGGGAAACATGAGAATAACCACTGCTAGCCTAAGGGGGGAATATAGCCGAAAAGAACAGGTGCGCAGGTAGGGGGGCACCACCCAAACACCTAAACATCTTCTGGCACGAATCATACCTAACAAACCCTAAACCTCAAAGCCTAGAACCCTAGGACCTAGAGCGAATCACAACACCTAACCCCTGTTTTGTCGCTCCGCGCGAAATCCCAAGGCGGATTACGCCATGGAGAAGACGATCCAAAGCGAAACTGAAACCAGAGAAAACCCACCGCGTCCGTTCTAATCGCGTGATCAGCCTATGGCGGGTGCGAACCTCGCGGATTTCCCGTTCCGGCACGCACGGCGAGGGTCGAGACGCGACGAAGCGCAGGAAATGGAGGCGGAGCGGAAGAGGGGATGTGAGGGCAGAGAGAGTGAGGCGAGGGTTCTCACCGCCTGCAGCGCGAGGGACGGCTGGCCCTCCTGGAGCAGCCCGCGGGCGCGGGACAGCATGCTCCACCCATCTCCGGCCGCCGCTGCCTGCGGCGGCGGCGGAGGCTGCTGGGGCTGGGGCTGGAGCGGATGCTCCGCGGGCTCCATCTCGACGTCGGACGGGTCCATCGGCGGCGCCTCCCGATCGACTGCGTGCTCTCGTACGTGCTCCGCCGCCGCGAGGTGCACGGCGTCGCGGGGTGGTGCCTGGTAACTGCGGGCGACGGCTGCTCTGCGGCTGCGGTGCCACGCCTCCAGATGCTTCCAGGTGGTGCGTGCCTCCTCGGGCAGTCGGGGGCGGCCTGGTATTCGGTTTCTAAAAGAATAGACGCACGAGAAGGAAATCCTTCGAAATTTTACGGGTTGGTCCCCAATTTTCCCCTGTATTTATTTAGCTGTTTTATCCTTTTATTTTGGGGAGGTCCTTTTGAAAGATCTGCCGCCTCGCGAGCCACTGAATTTTATATAAGACGACCGTCAAATTTAGCTGCCAGCTTTGTAACATGGATGATGTTGGGCTTGAACGTTTGCAATTGCAACCCAGTTCATATTGCAGAACTTTTGCAACAGCGGTATCATTATAATTTTTTTTCGCAACAAAGATCTCGTTGTAGATTTTTTTTCCAACAGAGCTAATGTTGCAGTTTTTTGTCTTCATCTTTACATAGGCGTTATGTAAGAGAGTTTTGCAACATCAACAATGTAGCAACAGTGAGGATGTTGCAAGAAAAAAATCACCGTTGGATATTCGCAGTGATCTCCTGTCAAACAGTGATGAGGGAGTAGTGACGCCGCCCGTCCCCGCCATGGCACCGCCGCCAGCGAGCGCCGCAGCTCTGCCATGTCGCCTCGCCTCCTCTCCAGCGCGGTGGGCCCATTGTGTGCAGTCGACGTGCGTGGTGGAAGCGGATGGCAAAGGCGGCCATCGTACTCGACCCCAGCTGCAACCTCGCTACCATCCTCCTCTCCGGTGAGGTGGGCCGTTGCCGGCGACACGCATCTCTCGCTCGGTGTTGCGGGGATGAGGAAGCTACCGCTTCGCCTTCGTCTTCTGGGGTCTGCAACAGACCAATTATTGCGGTGGTAAAATTGCAATAATGGGCTAGTTGCAAAACTAGTGGTGGTGGCCCATGAAGCATGTGACGTGCAGGGAAGGTGGCAGACACGAGAGCTGCGATCCGTCGCGTGATTGCAAGCGCTTTCCTTATTTTGCCGGACAGAGTACTACCTCTAGGATTATTAGTCTCCGTCGTATTTTGGGTCAAAGGTTGACCACACATTTGACTAGAAAAATGTCAAGGCATGTCACAAAAAATTATGTTGCTGGATTCGTATTTGAATGTAGTTTTCAAGGATATTATATTTGTTGCATATAACATATATTTTATTAGTTAAAATAATGGTCAAAATATGACTCGAAATAGATTTAAAATGAATTAAGTTGAATTTCCAGAAAACCTATGGAGAGGCCATGACGGTGGCGTATTTCCAGAATATGTTTTCACTTGAAAATGATTCGGGCATCGGGCGAGAGGCTGCCGGGTGGGGTCGAGCTGCAGGTTTATAAGAGGAAGAGAGAGAAGCAGAGAGGCAATGGCTTATCGATGGTCGCCCGCCGACGAGGAGGCCGAGCGGTGAGACGACGGAGATGGACCAGGCGCTCGACGGCGAGCATGCCCGTACTCGCAGCCCATCGAATGCTGGTCGGACGGCGTCGGCAGCGTCCTCTTCGACGATGTCG